TAAGTTATGAAGTAAAACTTCATTTTCATCTCCAAAACCTTCATCAGTTACATCGGTATTGTAGTTTTTCTGATGGAACTATAGTGAAGAAGCCATGAACAGGCTCATCATCATCCTTCTCCAATTCCTCTATAATTTCATGGAGATTCACAACTTTTGAATGTGATCTGAAAGTAAAAAGTGCTTAGGTATATTACATTACGACAATATAGTAATACATTTTACTACAGGCGTTTATAAACAACACCTACTTTATCGGTTAATATTGGTACTCAAAACACGTATTTATTTAAGTATTTTCAAGTTATATTATCAGTTACTGAACAAACTGCAATATCATTGAAAATTTATAAACGCAAAGTACAAATATATTATTATTACTCACCCACGAAAACTCATGTTGTTAAACTTGCACAGAAAACAATTAAATTCACAGAAAATAAAAGTGACACGAAAACGGAGATTTCGCACAGAATGACAAATTATTAAACATTTCATAAACACCCACAGAATGTTTTCAAACTACCCACAAAAAGACCAACATTTTTTTCTAGGACGTTGTTTTAAACCGACAGTGGTAATAACTGGGTTGGACAGTTTTTTGTACCTTCTATGGTTTCAAATTTCGCCTTACTGACCCATTTAAAAAAAGGAAAATATTTAAGTGCATATCAGAAAATTCAATACATATAAAATTATGTTCATTATTCAAGTAAGTTTCTGATTTGTATGATGGCTATTGGCGTGGGACCGATGCGTCATCAGTAATAAATCGTTCGTCACTCGAACCGGTTTTTACTTAGCTCCGATACCACTGATCCGATATCCGATGTGATGCCAGTGATGGCGACGAGATTCGAAACTACCTTCGTGTGTGAAAAAAAAAAGTGTAACGTAATGACGTTTTTTGGGAAATTTGCCTGTTTTCGATCACAAAAACAGTAAACGAGGTTGCGATATTAATTACACACTTGTCGGATTTAACGTACCGGTTGGTTCGCAATTTGGCCTACCCCAAGAATATTGACGATCTAAAGTATAGCAAACTGATTTTATTACTCGACACTCACTTAAAGTCGAAACATGTTCATTTACGGACATAGCAAATTTCTACGGGGCGACAAAGAGTTCAGGTGAAAGCCTGAACGACTGGGCGGCGCGACTAAGGGGGTTGGCAAGTTATTGCGACTTCGGCACCGCTCTGGAATCAAATCTGAGGAATCGATTCGTCCTCGGCCCAGACTCAGGTCCTGAACGCGACAAATCGTTCGAGGAAAAACCATCGACATTGACCTTTGCTCGAGCTTTGGAATTGGCAGAACAAGCTGCGAGAGCAACAAAAGCTAAGGCGGTTGTGATGAAGGAAGAACCAATCTTCAGAGCGCGTTCTGGGAGCGGTTTCCGTAGCTTTTTATATCCTCCAAGGTTACAGCGAAACAAGCAGAGCTTAAAAATTTTAAAGAACTGAAAGTATCAAACTCATTATCGCTCTGGGAACTGGTTTCCGATAACGGAGCCCGAGAAAAATAGATAAAAAGCCACTAAATTGTTTTCACTAGAAATGTATTGTACTATATAGTTATAGGCTGATAATATTATCGCATACCTTTGTAATTTTAGCGCTGTGATAACTGAGATACCCATGTTTTTATTAAAAGGCACTAAAGGCCGGTGATCAGTTTAAAAAATTAAAAACATATTAAACAGTTTAAAAGTTAGATCTAAAAAAACATTTCACTGCTAATAAAACCACTGTCTGATAAAGCTAGTATCAAAAATAATTTAAAAACATGTATCAAAACTAGACTAGAATGAATGAATAAGCTAGAACGCTGTGCAAGTGAAACTGACCTCATTTTTTCAAAAACTATAAATGCAAACGGTCAAAAAAGGTCATGTTGTAGGGCACGCGATCCGGCTCATGTATGTGGTACCACCAGCAGACGCCAAAAATGTTCTAATCGGACAGAAAAGGAACATAGATATAGAATGAAAAGGAAGCGTGGACGTCTTGCGAAAGCAAAACCCGCTTTAATAATTCGATAAAAGTTTTTTTTTATTAAGTTATTATGTCACGATGCTGGGCAAAGGTTAATAAAAGTTATTTTAATTTTTTTAATTTATTTGCTTTTTTATTTTAAGCTTTGGAGCTGATTTTCTTGTAATAAATTCATAATATTGGAACTAAATTGAACCTTTACTTGCAAATCCTAAAAAAACTACGATTTTTAAGCATTAGACTTTGTTGCAATTTTTTTTGTTGATCTTATTGTTTTGGACAAATTGTACAATTAGACCAATATGTCAAATAAAATGATGTTTCATTCCGGTAGACTGATGTATGTACCTTTTAGTGAAATAGGAAAGGTAAATGTAAAAAAAACAGGTACAACACTAAAAAATACTCCCTACACTTTAATAAAGGCACTTACCCCTAAATGGGCCGAGTAACTGAATTACAGGTATAGGTACATGAAGGCTGTAGACTGTTATAAATTATTACACATGATTTAGCTTATTTAATGATTATAAACGTAGTAAAGAACCAAAATTAGTGATTATACGCGATCGAATTTGAAACAGCTCCGACTGTTGTGGCGGTCGAGCAGGGAGTGACCGTGGTACGAAAACAAAATGAGAAAGTGAAGGAAGATGGAACAATTAAAATTTAAAATTTAAATACATGTAAAATAAAAAATGATAGGATACAAGCGGAGAGAGGCGATACAAAAAGGTGAGGTGACGGTGTAAGGAAGTCACACCGTGGGGAAGTGGCATATTTGGTTGCAAAAAAACCTGTTTTTTTTTTGGTGATCGGTTAAACACTACCCTTAAAAAAACACTGTATATTGTAGAAGGTATCATGTGTAATATTGAGTCTTTTATTTAATACGACCATTAGTTAGAAATCTTCGTAATAAATTGGTGTTAGTGAGGACCCCATGCGAGTAGTTGTGTGATTTATATGGTGTGAGTAAAAATAATAAAACGAGGCAAATTTACGTTACCAAGATAATGGCCAGTTCTTAATGTCTATATCCTGACCATGTGGAGCATTCGGTAGATTGAGAATGATGTTGTACTTGATCAATATCATACCGGGGTATTCGGACCTTACAGCATACGTTTTTGTTTTATTAATAATGTCAGTGCAGAGTACTTAAAAAACGACCTCAAAAATTCGTGGAATTACATCTATTTGCCAAGTTTTATTGAAATCGGTTACCGGAAAGTGCGCGAAACCGGATTCATCCCCTAGTTTGCCGCCCTTAGAGGTGGAATATTTTCTTCAAATTTAAATGGGACCAATACTGAGGTACTCTCTTTCCAACAAAAAAGAATCATCAAAATCGATTCCCAAAGTTATCGCGTTACAAACAAAAGAAACAAAAAATACAGTACAATTGAGAACTTCCTCCTTTTTTAAAGTCGGTTAAAATGTAGCTGTTCACGTTGAATAACATACATAAAATTTACTTTCAAGTGCACAACTGTGTGGTTTGTTTGTCAAAATTTCATGAACAACTGACATAATGTTACTCGTATATCAAATAAAGCGACACCCCACAAGGTTGCCAGCGATGTGTCATGCGAAAAATATTTCCGTTCTGATCCGAAAAGCCATTGCTACACAACGATATATCATCTGATACAGGAAGGGATTTACATAGTTAAATAGGTCTTGTATAAATCATATACAGCATGTAACAAAAAGGTGTAGTCGTATTGTAGTTTAGTACTTGACGAGCTCCGTGAAACTGATCACTCAGCCAGACAGATTGATTTAAATAATGTACTTTAGGTTTTTCTAAAAAAGGAACATATTTAATAATAAGATTTTTGAGTATCGGTATGATAATCAAAGTAATGTTGGAGGTTGACTGACTTGTCTTGCATCAACCGTGACCATGGGACCTGTAAAGGGCCCGAAACGTCGGTTTGTTTGAAAAAACAAATATACGCGATTTAAATCCGAAAAAATAGTTTTATTTTCTATGTGTAACAATCGCGAAAACCTAAGAACTCAAAGTAATGTTGTAAAGTGAGAAGTCACCAACGCTCTTCAACCCTCTATGTTAACGATCTGATTGACCGGTCGAGTAGTACTCGAGCAGGTAACTATAACGATGCCGTGAGCGTAATTAACATAAGCTACGCGGACGATATGGTGCTGTTCGCCCCGTCAGTCAGAGCGTTGAGAAAACTATTAGAGCTATGTGAAGAATATGCAACCACGCATGGATTACGTGACAAATTTTCAAAGCTGGTTTTAAAACCCCAAAACATATACCTCCAATATGGCTAAACGGAGTACTCAAAAGAGTCACTGAATTCAAATATTTAGGGCACATTGTAAACGAGCGTCTTAAAGACTATAGTAATACCGAACGTGAGCGTATGGCGCTGGAGGTGCGGGGCAATTGCTGATCCGCAGCTTGCCGCGCTTCTGCAACGCGTCGGGGATGTTTGCCGAAGCCCGCATCGATGATTTCTTCGCGATTATTAATAAAAAAAACGAACTCCCTGAGATGCAGACTGCGTTGCAACACCAACGGCAGTCTGATGACGATTGCGGATAGAGAAGAGGGTCCCAGCCACAAATATTGGATGGAACTACTCAAAGGGGTGTATATCTATACCCGGAACTAACGGTTTCGGATTGGTTATATGGCTTTTTAATTTTAAATACAAACCTACCTAAATACTTAATAATCACTTACTAACCTAATTTTAAATAATATTGCTATGGATGATGTCTGATACAAATAATATTTTATTTTTATTTTTATAGAAATGGCAGACAGGCGACAGGAACTCCTCAAGAGTGTACAGCAGCTACCTTGTGTTTGGGCTCATATTATTCATGTTACTAGCTTCTATATTATGCGTGTTAGTTATCTTTGAGGATTCCACAGTAACGAACACTACGGATAATTACACTACGAAGGTTGTTTTTTTAAAGTCAATTTTGGAGCCACTTTACTTGTGATACAAATTTATATTTAAGATAATAACGACATGACATGATAATAAAGTGAAACTGTTTGGTTTGGTATGTATATAAAGGTGTTGCTCGAAGAGTTCTCACCACTTACTCGCCGGGCTTCATCTCATCGAGTTTGCTGAACCACTCAACCATGTGGCGATTGTTCTTGTTAGTTTACCTTGGGGTTATCGGTAAGGACGTTTTATTTACCATTTTATTATTTAAATCGTTTTGTAGTGACTTCGCTCCGTCATTGCGAAATGCCAGGAGACTGTTTGGCGACGATAAGCTCGAATCTAAACTTCATAGTTTAGCCCACCAGCGCAAAGTTGCCTGTCTGTTGGTTTTCCATAAAATATATTTCGGTGAGTGTGCCCATGCGCTCCGTCAGATCATCCCGCGCTCTTTTACCATCGGATCATTAGACGTACGACGGGATATCATCCTTATCTGGTCGATATTCCCTTCAGGCGTACTGAACGCTTAAATAATCTTTTATTATGCGCACAGCCCAGAAATGGAATCCCCTGCCTGCGACTGTGTTTCCGAGCACATACAATGCAGCTATTTTTAAGGGCTTCCATCGTAGATATATTTACATACCTAACTTTGCTTCAGAGTACTAGTATCTTTGCTAGCTAGTTTTTTAATTTTTTATTTATTTTTTACAATATCAATTGACGAGATGAACAAGTCGTGTGCCTGGTGGTAAGCTACACGCCTGTCCATAACAGTTGCAGTGCCACTCAGAGCTTTTGCAAAGATTTGAGGGGCACTGACAATGTGCCTGTAATTTACAGCACCCTTACTCTCCAAAACCGGAACGCAGTAATGCTCACATTACTGCTTGGCGGTAAAAATAGGTTTGGTGGCAGCACTTCCCTGATCTTTTTTACAAGGAGATTCTACGCTACTAAAGATGTTGAAAGTATGATCATGAAACTCTTTTATTTTTAAATTTTTTTTTATTAATTTGTGAACTTTTATAGATGTGTTACGAACTTTTTCACAAGGCAATGGTCAATGGCAAGTCTTAGTCCATTTAATATAAAAAAATATCTGTTATGAATATAGTTCGAACTTGTCGTCCAATATACAGGGTGGAAATTTGTAATGCCACCTGGAGGGAAAGTACTCTAAATACTGGAGATAAAAATTTTACTTAAAGGAAACATTCCTTTATTTTTTAGAAGAAATAAAACTGCATTCATAGATTTTCGAAAATTTCTAGCAACACGCGGGAATCGAACCCGCTTTAATCTGAAAAAAATGCCCCTGCACTTTTATTGCATCGATCGATAGGGTTAATTATAAGAATAAAATCTATGTCACAAAATTGGTTAATTAAATAAAAAAAAACCATGAAATCTTAACGTATTTTAATAAAACGAAAAAATGGTAATGTAACTAATTAGTTGCTCGAAATGAGCTCCATTTTCTTGGATACACAAATTTAATATTTTAACGAATCCATTTTGAGTAACTTTTAATAACGTGTTGTGATGAATTGTATTACAAATCGTATTCTGAACCTCAGCCTTCAACTCGTTTACACTCGCATAGGATTTAAGGTAAATTTGATTTTTAACATATCCCCACAAAAAAAATCTAAAGGGGTGAGATCTGGTGATCTCACAGGCCATCACCATTTGTACCAATCCAGGTATTAAAATGGTTACTAATGTTGGCAGTAGTGACTCTGCTGTTATGGGCTGGAGCGACATCTTGCTGCAGAATTATTCGATTTCGCTCTTCCTCGGATAAAACATTTAACTCATTTCTTAAATGTTACGTTACGTTAAATGGGAAAATATTCGAAATTCATATTTGACATGTATAAAATTCCAATAGACCCGTATTTTATCCCAATAGGAGAGTCACCGCACTTATAAACGCGGAATGTACGTTTGTCGGTCAGAGAAAAGCTTTATTTAAATGCAATAAGAACGAAAAGTAGTCGAAATTGATTAAAACGAAAAATAATATAGATGCAAGGCCGTCCGCGAGGGAACCTCCAAAGTTTCGTCCTGACTACAAATACGTGGCAGCGGTAAACGGCTGGCTGAAGCTGCACCGCGTACCCACCGACTGGTTCGACGCACGCGCACGATGCCAGCTCGAAGGTAATCAGCTCAAAAAATAATTGTTTTTTACTAATAATAACTTTATTCACTCACATAAAGGCAATGCAAATAATGTATCATTAGTAAAAAAATGTAGGAACGTTTGTGAGAATCTGGAGTTCGTATTAGGATTCCTTATATGACGGATCACCAGGCCCTCGCTCCCACAGTTGGACTTAATAAAAAAAATAAAGATGAACATTGTGAGTTAAATATAGTAAATTAAAAACCAATATAAAATGGAGCGTGTGAGTGTTTTTATTGTAGTATGTGATATGTGTATTTATGTGTGTGTGAATTTATTCATTAAAATTCCTATTATTAGAATGAACTATAAACGCGAGAAATATAAAATCACATATGTTTTGTTAGCTACATACACACGACAAACAGTAGTAGACCAATTCTAGAGTACTTGTAGAGTCCGAACGCCATCTATAGTTTTTTAAAGACAATTCTCTCGAGGTGCATGAAAGCTAAGTGTAATAATAAGTACATAATTAATTGTTTAGTTAAATGTTTAATATTGCAATGGCATATTCAACAGGTGCGGACCTTGCGTCTCCATCAGACGAGCTGATGCTGCAGGCCATGCGTTCCATCAGCAACGAGACCAGTGACGCTTACTGTGGCTTCTACACTGGCATCCATTCTTTGTTCTCCAAAGGAGATTATACCTCCATTGAGGGTAATGAACACTTTCAATAGGAAACGGGAAGATCGTGGATAAAAGATGTCTACTAATAATCTAACTTATTTAAATTTACGAATAACGTTATGTAAATTTGATATCGTTTGAGTCTCTTCGTCCACGGATCTTATTTTCATTGTTCGAAGACAACGAATGTCAATCAGACAGCCAGTAGATGCAGGCTGGTTTCACAGCTTTGCGTACGGTCCGTACGGACAGTCCGCCTGCGATCCATCCGCGTGCGTACAATCTGAATCGAGTATTTAATTTAGTGCGAATATTCACGCAAGACAGTCGCCTTCCACAAACGCACCGGTGGCTGTGCGGAGTTCGCGTGGAACGTGTTCCGAACGGAGCAAAACGCGTTACTGTAAAACGATGCTCCAGAGCTCCGCGCGGGCGGTTCGCAGACAAATCAGCACTGCTCTGAAAGCAGCCTTAACATTGACATCCACATTCTTCGATCAAAAAAGTGAAAATAAAATATGGCAGTAAGAAAAAAATTATCACATAATATTGCACTGCAGGTACTCCCCTGTGGAAGATGCCAGTAAACTTCACAAAATCTCAGTCCTGTCCTAAAAAGATCCAGAACAACGACTGCACAGTTCTTTTTTCCGCGGGCACCGCGGGCTCCGTTGACACCGTGGACTGCAACCAATTATATCCCTTCATGTGCTTCAGAAAGCAGAAGAAAATTAATAATATGTGTGACTGTGGAACTATTGATCATGGTTAGTATTTTTGGCACTAGTCTGTTATGTGTTTTCTTTTTCAAGATGCTTCATATCTGAGACTATAAATTACACTAAATCAGAATCATTGGTACTACTGCATAAAACGAAAGCCTGGAGAAGCCTTGTGATAGGTACAGAGATATGAAGGCGGCTGAAGCAGATGAAATGAAAACTGGTAGTATAATAATATTTTCGAAAGTTCGGTACGGGATTTAAATATTGGTGCTCTTAATTGAATTCCTCACGTGCACTTTTAGCTGTGAGAATGTGGAATGAGTATAGGGATGGAGAAGTCCACGTTTAGAAAGTACGTGTTACTCTAGATAATATCTTTTATATTTGGACTCAAAATCGAATTCCAATTCCGACTCATTATTCTCTTCCTGGTATTACAGCAGCCATAGTTAACGAGTTACTCCTATCTGTAACCTTTTCTATATTAATGGAGATACACTTGATTTTGCCACTCAAACAGTCGAGCGTATTTACAGGACATCAGTACTAGCGGCGATTGACACTGGCACGAGGACTATTCCCACTTTACTGGACTTCATTCGTGCGATTGTTTGCGTGTTTACTGGTATCGTGCTAGATAAACTAAACCGATATAGTTTTTCGTCTGATGCCCGCATTGGTTTCAAACTACCGCTAGGAACTGTAACGAAATCTTTTATTTTGTCTGCTATAGTTTCACTGTTACGTAATACAGTATATAGATAAAAGTACTCAAATAATATGTGATGTTGCTTATCGTTATTAATCATCAGTAACAACAAAACTTAGGGTGCGTTCCCACTATGTTGTGACGTTTCATTTATCGTTGGACGACTGTCGCGCTAGTCTGTTCCCACATCACGACTATCTGTCGTGGCTGTGTCGTGGACAATTTATAGTTTCAAGGCAGCCGCCTTGTCGTTTCCACAACAGTATCGTTTGATGCACTGCAGTTGCTTCTATGTTCTTTAGGAAGCCAGTAGTGTGTTTTCGCTCCCGTACTACTTTTTAGAAAGGCGGAGAGGAAACAAACGAAGAAAAGAAAGTTTTAGGTACATCCAATGTTCTTAAAAAGAATTCCATTAGGATTATGTCAAACGTTTATAGACGAACTGAAATGTGATAAAAGAAAATTTTGGGAATATTTAAGAATTTAATGTATTGTTATAATATGTATAATTAAATTTGTACAAAACTCAAAATAGTTAGAATAGTAAATAGTTTTTACCCTCGATTTCGGGCATTAATGGGTTTTAACCCGATTTAAACCCGGCGTTAACAAAACGCCGGTATGAAACCTGGGCCCATCTCTGGATACGATACAACGCTAATGCAAAGCGAAGGCGCGGGGTACGAGAGGGGAGACTGGGGAGCAGAACACACAACGATAAATTTATCGTGACGACAATAGTAGTTGCGACTATCTGTCGTCACGTTTTTATCGTGGCGTATCTGTCGTCATAACGACAAAAAATCGTCAACGACAGTTAATCGTTTCGTTCTATATGTGAACAACTTCATTTAAATATACAAGCCACGATATTGTAAACTGCACGACAGTCTGTCGTCGCGACATAGTGGGAACGCACCCTCACACTTACAGTACGTATAACTAAACATGGAAATTATAGTCATTTATGAAGATTGAGTCGATCACCCGCTCAAATAATGTGCGGAATTTGGACCGCAGAGCTTTAGGCGGTGACCGTCTAAAATAGTAGCCAGGGATGTTAGAAATTTATCTTCAGTGTTACTGAACACGTCAATGTCATTTGTCGTATTGAGGAATTCGATTACGACTAGGGCTTCAAAAATGGTGTCTAAGTTAGTGTCAATGTGCGGGTTAAATGAAAATTGAACAGAGGGTATTTGAGCTGACGAAGAACGTAACGTTATATTGGCGGGATGAAAAAGGAATTTGAGCCAATAGATGAGGGTTAATTATATATCCTCCTATTCAGTAAAAAATATATTTTAGCAGCACCAGTTTTCGCCAGACCTTTAGCGACCAATAGCATATCATGCTCAAAATAAATGGTCTAGGGTTCATATAAGGATATAATACCCATAAAGATGTTTATACAAAAATCTCAAAAATTATTTCTAAATTCGTTCCAACATTGCAATATAGAGTTTATTGTGGGGATTTCATCACCACGCAAGTAGCTTCTTCGAACAAATGCGTTATATAAATTACAAATCGCCTCTCGATGGTAAAAAAACTTAGGTTGCCGCTTGATGAGCTAAGACTTTTCCAAGCACACATTACATACATACATTGATAATATGATCGTTAAATTTGAGTTCAGAATAGAATCTTAGGGCTCATTCTCTTGGTCTTGGCGTCTTCCCTTACACAGTGCCAAATCGGCTAAGTGCGAGTAGATCCACAGCAGGCGCCGGCGCGCGCGGCCTCTGTGAACGCAACGAGCGTCTACATACATTTGATTTACACGCACCGCGCCGCCGCGCCGCTCTGAATAAGGCCTTACTCCCGAATTACGAACACACATCACACGATTCAAAGTCGATGAATATAAGAAGTTGTAGGGACTGGTGTACGGTTTCCGAGATACCATGATACATCCTATTGATCTAACTGTTATGTCCATATGGTCTTAGTTTTTCATGGTGTGAGGTAATGACTATTTATTCATTTACAGAATATAAGTACTACGAAACAACAGAGCAATGCTATAAATTCCATCGTCATCCTCAAACCTGGCCAGAGGCTTACAAAATCTGCTTGGCTGAAGGCGGACACCTGGCCGTCATAAACAAGGCTGAGGAGGCCAAAGTAATATCCAGTATCTTCGAAGAGCATCCGGCTTATACCATGCTGTCGAATTATAAAGATTCCTTGCTTCTGGGATTTAAAAAATTACAAGGAACTTGGACTACTATACATGGTTAGTTTATATACTAGTCTACATTTACACGTCACATGATGTAACGTATCAACGGATTGACATGTTTGTATAAATGTATAAATATAAAGTATAGAAAAAATGCACAACGTAATGTTGTACATTTATTCCATACTTGACAAATTTTTATTTTCTTTCAAGTTTAGAGACTCGGATACATTTTTACAAAATTGTCTTCCAGGTCAAAGTCTCGAACAAGCAGGTTACTCAAACTGGTCTCCAAAGCAACCCGACTCCTCGACTCATCCTAATCCTGGTGGCACTAAAGAGTACTGCGGGGCAATGTTCCGTACCGGTCTTTTAGACGATGTTTGGTGTGACGTTCAGTACCCTTTCATCTGTGAAAGAAATGTACCGGATACGAATGAAGAAGTTGCCATCTATAATTCACCGAATGATCAGGTTGAAGGCAGTTTGTAGTTTTTATTTGTACTAGTTGATTAGATGAGTAGTTGATATGTATATAAAAATATGTTATAAACTTCGGGAAGAGCACCCTTTTTGTAATATGTTTAAAAACAACTAATTGTAAAACAAGTAATTGATGATTCTAGAAGCGCATGTAAACGTTTTACAAAAGTATCATGGATCAAATTAATATTTATACAGTTCTTAATGTGTTGTCCATAAATTTATTTAAAAATCTATTCAGAATAAAAAACTTAGCAATGAAATATGGTTTTATTTTTTGCAACTGACGTTAGCCAACAAAAATATAATCTGAACAGGATTCACATATATAATATAACTACGTTAGGGTTAAGTAACACGTCATGAAACCACAAACAATTGTAGATTATATACAAATCCGTCGTAAGACGTAGCTGTAATCAAAATAATTATGAGGAATCAAGCACTTTATAAACACAATATAACAAACAAATTAGAGGAAACGATTGTAATAAGTAATTTATGAACCATTTGAGCTTTGGTTTCGATAATAAATAAACCAATAAAAGGGCGTCATCAGATAGCAGGTAACATGCAATGATGGGTAAGCTATATTTATTCACGTAAACTTGCATAGATTTTTTTCAAATGGTGCCACGCAGTTCCTAGACTAGTCTAGTAATAAATAATCAATGGTATAAAAACATAATAGGTTACTTACTTACTTCTCTGGTTCAGAGACCCGAAGTGGATCTTGGCTTCCGACGCCAAAGGACGCCGCTTCTTTTGGTCTTGTGCCAGTTCACACCATTCGGGCACATTTAGCTGCTTCAGGTCTTTGGCGATTCCATTCTTCCAGCGATATCTAGGACGGCCCACTGGACGATGACTCGTAGGTTGCCTCAAATACGTTCTTTTGGCAGCTCGATATTCTCCCATTCTTTCCACACGAAACCGACAGAAAAGTAATAGGTTAACCTATACGAAATTATTGGGACTCTATGTGGTTACCCTGAAATTTTGGCGAGATTTGGACTGCGGGATAATTGACCCATGATGGACCCTTATGAAATCGAGGAATTAGTTCGGATTGACGGGTACAATCACCTCTTAAAAATCTCTCAAGTGACTATCTTTAGATTGCCGAATTTTACGTTATTCTCTTCACAAGTTCCATAGAAATCTTCAATAATTCTGATTGGCGCCTTTGTCTAAAGTATTTTACGAAGCTAGTTACCTTCTAGTATTATTTCATTGTTTGACGTTTGAAATTGAAGAGTTGTTACTAGAACTTTCTCTTAAATCTATCATATTTAGGTTTCGTATCAGTTACTTGTTCCAACAACGATCAAAAAGATTCATAAATTTGTGTTTACCCAACACAGTTTAGGTGAGGAGTCATCTACGAAAGTATCCGTATACGGATAATACAAAGAGTACGTGTGTGTGTGTGTGTGTGTGTGTGTGTGTGTACGTGTATGTGTGTCTTTTATCCAGTGACTCAGGATACAAGACACCAGGACTTCTCACAAAAATGGTGTAGACTCATCTATTTTTAGCGAACACAGCAGCATCTGCAGTCATGAGAACGGCGTCAAGTTAGACAACATAAGAAAGACTAAGGAGTCGATTATATAGAACTTTGCCAAATTTTGTAATAAGGATATAATTTATGAAGACCTTCATTTGACGCGATTGTGTGTGTACACACTCCCTATCAAAACATAGTTACACATACATACCTAAGTAGATAATTATAATGCTTCTTTAAAATTAGTCACCCGACCCCGAAAGATAAACTAGTACAAATATAACTGGAGACCGAGTGTGGCGAGTAGGATTGGCAGTGTTGCTATTTTAGAAATAAAAGATTCCAAGTATAACTTACGTACTACAAAAATCGGAACCGCAACGTCAACCACTTCAACATGTGAACCTTAAATGACACGCACAGACAGGAGTGTGTGAGGGGATGAGGCAGGGGTGTTGACGTCATTAAAGCTCTTCAGCCTGCAAGGGAAACTCTGTTAATTTAGACCATTTTTTTTCAAACGCGTTTTAAGTATGTATATATGTTTCAGAATTTTACGTCTATTGTCTAACCTCAAAACACGTGTGATTTAAAAAAAAAGTATCGAGGTAGAGGGCTTAGAATAATAACGTATAGAATAATAGTTTCATATCAAACGAACTGTCACAAGTGAGGCAAAAATCAAATAAAATTCATGTAGGTAGGCTAGTTTTAGTAGTAGGTTAATTTTCGGTGTTAGTGAATATTTATATAAAAATACAAGTTGAAACGCGTTACTTCCTTGTGGAATGTGATGTTAGTATCTATTTTATGTTTGTCTGACGTATTTTTACACTCATTTACCGCACATTTCGTCATTTTTAGCTAAAATTCCGGAGCTGTTCGCGGTGCAAGTTGACCTTGAGCACTAACGGCCCGCCCGCTCGTGTAGGCCCTTTGGGAGCGCTTCAATTTGCCTCACTTAGCGTGTGCGGACTAGGTTTCTATGCGTTATTATTCTAAGGGAGAGAGTATATATGTAAATGTCTTATTGAATTACTAGAAAAAGGTTTAATAAAACCTATGTATGCATTGACTTACAAGTCAATGTATGTATTTGGCATTGATCAAACATTGGCACGAGTCAGGATATGCGTTCATAAAATATGAAATTTTGAAAGCCCACTCTTAAGTCATAAAAGATGATAATGGTATATCGAGTTCTAAGGTTGGTCGCGATTGTTACACATAGGAAATGAAACTATTTTTCCGGATTTATATCGCGTAAATTTGTTTGTTGATTGCCAGTCAACCGTGACCATGGGAATTTTGAAGGTTCGGGCCCTTCGGTTTCTTTGAAAAAACAAATATACACGAATTAAATCCGGAATATTAGTTTCATTTCCTAAATGATATTGGTACCTACAAATCATTTATCCATTACATAAACAATTATATTAAATTTGATGTCAATAAATATATACAGTATTAATTGTTGAAAATTATTTAAATTGAAAGAACAATAAAAAAGTCATTAGATTTATAAAAAGTATTTTACACAAGGTACTTTTTACGCAGGTTTTTTGAGTACAGCATTATATATTTAAATTTAAACTTAGAGTACAAATATTTCGAAAAACAATCCAGGAAACCATTGTAATGATGATTGTGCGTGGTTTGGATTAAAATTATAAATAGGTCAATTCAATGACATCACCAGACAGGCCACCAGGCCGGTCAACGGCTATGCCTATCGCGGTAGGTATTTGTTCAAGTATAACGTAAAGCAAAACAGGAAACTAGTCTCAGGAGACAAAAATTACACAACCAATAATAAATTACTATTATAAATTTGCATTTTTTTCTTGTCAGTTGTTCAGGTATGGTATAAATAGACGTTAATAAAACTGCCTCCGTGGTCTAACGGTTACCATGCCGGACTGCCACGCAGAGGTCTCAGGTTCGATTCCCGGGCCGGGAGAAATAGTTGTATGGCCTACAATTATTTCTCTCGTGAGTTTGGATGTAATTTGTGGTTGTCTATGTGTGTGTCCATGGCACCCGCGACACAGGGTTTCCCTAGTGCGGGGCTATGTTGAGTGTGTGCGTGCGTTAATAATTTATTTATTCATACCGAACGGCTTTAACGTTCACTGTGGATTATTTAACATCTAGTCGTGGGAATTTGATTTCGACGTCTTTGCACAACCATGTTGCGGCTATTTGTATTAGTGTTACTTGTGGTTGTTACGCGTAAGTATATTTCATTTTATATTCCTTTAAACCACTTACTTCCACACGCGTAATAGTCGTTTTTGTGGCTGTTACACAATGACAGGTAAGGCCTAATTATGTACAGTTACATACACTGCTTTATCTATACATTATAAGCTCTCTATCTCCTCTCTATGATGTGTTCAAGAGCCATATGTTACGACTGGCGAAATGGCAGCAAATAAATTTCTCACGCACGTCACACAACCGTAGTTTTTATTTAATTCATAGACAGGCTAGAGTCAGCCTCAACTATCATATCATTCGTTAGATATCATGTAACATGTGAAATTTGTCAAAATTGTTTGCTATTGACATTTCATTTCGAATAAAACTTCATCTCGACTGATATCAGAATTGAGGCCGAATCAATTTGTTTTGTTTTTAGAGATGTTCGAAATTTGAATGCAATAACAAAATCGAACTTGATATTATTAGAAATCAATATTAACATTTTCACAGATAAGAAATTTGTTCTAACAAAACTGTTTATCATAAAGATAACTAGCTAGTCGTAATTTGCGATTTTTGAACACATCATATAGAGGATGATGTGTTCAAAAATATGATGTGTAGATAAAATACATAATAAAAGAAAACGAGATCATCTACAGAAATTAAAAAAATAGCTTAGTAAGCTATTTGTGTGTGGGGGACAGTCTCAGTATTCACTGCGTGTCAGAAGTGTGGTTTTCAACCAACCCCCAACTTTAGTAAACACATTTTTTTAGAGTTATTTGAGTAAACAAAAACCAAATCGACAGTATGACTGCAGCGTCCTGAATGAGTTCTGTATTATTACCCGCTCTTGTCAAAGAAGGATCTCAGTTACATATACTATAACTACGGCAATCAACAACGAAGCGAGTACTTTAAGTGGCGCGTAGCCGCTAGACCGCTGCCCCCGCGCCGATTAAACCGCGCGTTGACGCAGATCAGCGTCTCCGCCACCGCGTGCGTGATTCCGCGTCCCGCGCACCGTCGCGAGGCGCGGTGCAGTGTGTTAATCGCCTAACTATCACATTCTACAGATGCCGCGGTCCCGCGGCAGGCGCGGGCGAAAACCGCTCCGTGACTTCTTAGTGTAACGAAAAATTAGTTTCAGCGCCATCTAACGTGTAATAGTTATACTAGTAGTTTTTACTAAATTTTTTTTACTAAAACGCCACCTGATGGTGAATGGCTGAACCAGGATGAAAAAAATACTGAAATATTGTGATATAACTCTTACTCAAGTGACTGTAAGTACAATTTTGTTAAATTTTAAAATTATGTTACGTCGTTTTCACGTTTTAAGCCCTATCCAATCAAAATCTTTAAGTTATGGTAGTAGATAATAGAGCGCAAAGTTTGAAGTTGCACACAAGCTAAAAAGTGGCGACATCGGTACCCGATCTTACATAGCGTCATTACATTATCTCCCCTGTTTTTCTATATCTGTGGTTGGAAGAGCGAATTGTATAGGTAGTTGAATAAATGCGAATTGCATATCAGATATCAGACTATGCTCAGTAGTGAAGTTTCCTCCTGTTACGGCCCTATCCAGGTGGATATGGGAATTCAAGGACTTCATCGAAGGCATTCATATATTTCTCCCTGTTCTTCGGCCTACATAACATTGTTCCAGTCATAAAAAGGCGGCTCTCGACGGCCCGTGATATCACGGGTCACCCGCGCGGATTACAATCGGCGAGCCCGCGCTAGTACGGGTGGCACTCTTCGCAAGTGGCGCGTGCTCGCGCGGCGCGCCCTGTGACACCGCGGGTCGTGGGAAGCCAGCTCCGGAAGTTAGTTGCTAGTGCAGGTTAGTAAAAGTAATTTTTACTGAGTAATTAAACGAATAATGACAAAAAGTAAGTTACAGTGCCGTTCAGAGCTTTAAATAGCAAATATCTCAGGAGCACTGACATTACTGCTTGGCGAAAGAAATAGGCTAGGTGGTAGTACTACCCTGGACGAACTCCTATACAAGGAGGTGTGCTGTTACTTAATATAATCTTTGTTTCAATAATAACAAAAAATATTTCTTTTCTTCTATAACAAGCATATTTAATAGAGTAAATGTTTATTGTTATACACTGCTCAACAAAGTCTAGGGAACAAGGTTATTACATATATATTTTTTAATTTAACACACTGTTACCTTATATGATGTACAACGAAAGAAGCGTTATTTAATATTCATTTTAATGATAAAATAATAAAGGGTAAGAAAAAAATAAAAACATTTTTATGATATAAAAAAAACTATTTTAATAGTAAAACTTATAATAAAACAGCAACTTTTTAAATAGTCAATCAGACCTCCCAAGGCATTGGCTTTACAAGGGCGTACTAAGCATGAGGTTGTCAATTGTCACCTGAGGAACAAGACACCATACTCAGAAAGCTCTTCTTCGGTGTGTAAATTTTGGGGAAGATTACAAAATGCTTTTCTCCCGAGAAAATCTCATGTTCAATGCGATTGAGATCGGCGGACAGAGCAGGCCACTATAACAACGTGACATCGTACTCACGGAACCAAGCTTGCAATGTGTACACGTGCACAAACACCGCATCTTGGCCGAGCTGCTGTCGGTGAGCATTCAAATTGCCTTTTGTCCAAACGAGATCAGTTCTTCCACTCAGGCGAATTCCAACCCATACTATTATCGTTACGCCTCGGTATGGATGAACTTCATAAGGATTCTGGAGTTGACTCCTGTCAGGAACTCGCCAAACTCGCACTCTTCTTGAATCGGGACGAAAAGTTTGAGTTTCAGTCCAAACAAAAAAACAAACAAACAACGAGCTGAAGCTCTTAGCGGTCTCCGTCCATGAAAATGGACTTCATGCAAACTTCTTCTGGCAGTTTGATGATTAACAACCATTTGGTGCAGGGACCGCAGTCTTTCTACCAGCTGTGGAGCTGTAATATGGGACTGTCCCCTTGCAGTATTTTGCAAAAATCGATTTTGTCTCTGGGATGTGATCAGGTATCTCTTTGGTGCGTTCGGTTACATCTATATATTTCCCATATTCGGCAAATTACGCTTGGTTACGCGTTAACAGCGGCTGCTTTCAGCATACCCGCAGCCCTGAACACTCTCTTCCCGCGTTAAATGGTGACATGACATGCCGCTCAAAATCATAAAAATTGACGACCACAACGATAAATTCTTTTAACACAAGAAAATCAAACATAAAGTGGTACTAAACTCTCATTTGCTTACATTAGAAAAACCTATGCGCTGCGCCCAAATATAAGATGTTCGCTCCTTAATTCAAAATGCTTTTGCTTTTTGTTTAATTTTTTTTTATTTCGAACTATAATTTATTACAGTTATTTACATTTATAAATTTCAGTGGCCAGTGCTATCTTCAAAACAAAAAAAAAAATAAGTTAACATTATTGAATTGTTCCGTACACTTTGTTGAGTAGTTACGTATTTGTTATTTACGTAAATATAGTTCAGAAAGCAATAATTGAAAAAGTATAATTAGAATTCCCTATTGTTCAAATCATTCGTCAAACAATAACTTACAATGAGGAAAATATAGACTCATTTCAATGTTACACTTGTTTCAGACAATGTAGAACTCTCTTTAAAATAAACATGTTTGTAAATTTCAAATATTTACTTTTGTTACTTAATTTGTATTCTGGTGAGTAAATATTTTCTTCTTCTATTTTATTTGGCCAGTCAACAATAAAAAATGAGAAACATACATGCAAAATCTTAAAACTAAGTGCACAATCTATTATAGACCGACATGACAGTCATGTACAGTAAATTATTGCAGAGTGAAAAAAAGTGTAATCATTTAAAACTAAGCAAAAGTATTATACTGCAGAGAAGTTGTACACAACTTCATCAATCGTTATAATCAATCGTTGCTCAATGATCGTTGTGCAACTGGCAAAGCCTAGCAATGGGTGAGTCCGCGCATAAACAGTCCTGCGAGAAAGCTTGCAAAGGGGTTTTATAGGAAAACCTTGGAAGCCTGCGGGGAACATTAAGTGATATTAGATTTAGAAATGAACTGCATTTAATCTGATTGTTTAATTCATTATTTTAACCTGGAACGCACTCAATGTGCGATTCTCAAGGTGGGATGGAGCCTACGCTTCAGATATCCGACCTCTGACCTCTACAAAACCTATGAGGTCCTTCCAGTATGGCAGCTATTTGTCCTTCGAACAGGTTTTGCCGTGCACACTAAAATCGCACGCACGCACGCACGCACGCTCGCACGCACGCGTGCGTGCGTGCGCGCGTGCGCACACCGTGAGTGGGTGAGCGTGTGTATGCATTTTTGGTATGACCGTATTTTTTAAAAGTGATGTTACGTTCTTAGTACACCTAGTGGGAGTGAACGTGGTGATCTGTAACATAGGTCCCCAACCTAATACAGACACTCCAGCTCTTACTAAGAAAGTTGTTATTATACATGAAATCTAACTACTTATAGACCTTTCTGAGAGAAATGAAATTTTAGGAGAATTTATGTCACACACTGTGGATATTACAATCATCGGTGAATCAATAATCAAACAATCATTATTGCTGTCCATTTCCTAGCATTGTAAGTCACGCGGGGTAACAAAATAAATATTACAAAACTGGTAAAATGAAAGCCCAAGAGCCATTTCGAGTATTATTTACAACAACTTTGAACGTAATTATCTTCTCATGTGGTCTTTGGGCATATTACGGACATATATGTATATCATAAATGTATATAATAAATACATATATATCATAAATGGTTAAAAATATTTTATATACTACGACGACCTCGGTGGCCAAACGGCTTACATTATGGGCGCTGGATGCGGATGTCCCGGGTTCGATTCCCGGTAGGGCCAACGTGGGTATTAACTTTTCTAAATTGGTTCTGGTCTAGGTGTTCTGGAAAATGCCCCAAAGTTCGTTCCGTTTCTCTGGTGCTTATAATACGGAACTTCCCTAGTTTGTGGCCAGGCAATTGGTATAGTTGTGCACCACATGTATTATATTATTATTATTATATTTTACAGTGAATACGTCACCTTGGGAACAAAGAAAATACAGCTTAAATCTCGGAGAAGGTAAGTTATTACTCTGTGTTATGTAAGAACATATGATTATTGACTTTTTTTTTTTTCAACTGACTATTTTTTTAACATATATCGTGTAACTGTTGTATACCGTTTAGCTGTATACTTTTTCATGGGGCAAATTAGTTCAATTAATCTTTCCTTGAAAGAAGGTCTACCATAGCAGCACCTAGTTTGGACTCCCTGTCGCCCACATTTAAAATTCTGTACAATTCAAATATCATTCCAGGTTACACGTATGAAAATGGCACAAGCAGTTACTACAAACTCTTCACAGTCCCGCGGAACTGGACAGATGCTCAGAATCAATGTAACCATGATAAAGGACATCTGGCGATTGTCAGTAATAACTATGAGGCGGAACTTCTTATCAATATCACAAAAAGCCAAGATTATGGTTGGGACAAACCGTTATTTCTTGGATTTTATAAAGGATTCGACGATATTTTGCAGTTTGTTGAGAGTGAGTTTCCTCTTCATCGGCCATCTCTTGTAACAAACTAAACTAAACAAACAACAAGTATTTCGTCAAACTAAACACAAATACTACTGAGTATTTAGAGAGAGTAACAAACAGGTTGTTTTCAAAATCAATAGCGATGAACCAATGATGCTAAAACGTTTGCAGTTCCACCAATACATACACGTCCCACTGCTGGACACGGGGGTCCTCTAAAAAGAGTATTTCATCATAGTGAAGCGCACTAACCCAATGCGAATCAGAGACATCACAAATCTTCGAAGAGTTGCTTCGGCGATACACTACTTAGTAGACTCGACCATGAAAGTGTCAACAGGCATCACGTGCTAAGCGACTTACAGCATTTGTGATTGCTTAATATATAACTAATCCACCATTCATAAAAAAAAATAATTAACCATAATATTACAGATAAATCAATCGTCGAGGAAGAATACGACAAATTTTCTACAAAGTGTGACATTGCGGACACGAAATTCTGCGGAACATTTTTAGAAGATGGAAGACTCTGTATCGAAAATTGCGACTTGGCATTACCATACATTTGCGAAATAAATCTTGAGTTGAATGAAACTGCAAACGTGGCTAATTACGCTACAGTGTTGAAACTTGCTGATGACTTCATAAACATTGTGACTAATATTTTTAGTTCCATAAATGAAGAAGAAGATTATAAACCATTTAATTCGACAGCATATGAAACACATCGTCCTCTTACCACAAATATGACAGAGAAAAATTATTCTGCTAATGTAAGTCTTAGTAATGAACAGTTAACTGCTACAACATTTGATTTAATAAATGTCACTAGTCAATCTAATGCAATAATTGAGTCAGTAAAGGAAAGAAATAATTTGTTATCGAATTCTACATCACCTGTCCCTTTTGTAAATGTTATAGATAAGGCACATGCCATAGACCAAAATTTTGCTACAAATAGTACACTGTATAGTATTCCAAAGACTGATGATTATAAAAACGTAACTGCTCAACCAAATAGATCAAGTGTTACAGTTAACACAAGTTCCATAAACTATACTTTGCCTTCAAATTCAACTTCTTCTGATTATATCGTTAATACCTCAGAATCAGCCGATTCAAATAACACCACACGTGTCACAAATAACACCAGCACAATAAGCCACGATATATTCAATTTTAAATCTACTTATAGTGACGCTAATGAAACTGGTAAACCTGATGGAGATATTGTTATTACTTCTGTTACTTTACCAAATGTTACTACTTCCAGCACGCCAAACGTTACACATTATAGCTTTTCGAATAACTTGCCTATTTTATCAAATGTAACAAACGCTAGCACTCATTCGCCTACTCCTACTAATTTATTTATTCCAAATTCCAATTATACGTTAATAAATTACGATATAATAGCACAATCAAAGTTTAATGCTACCGATTCAAATGGAAATATTATAAATGTAACAACTGAGACTGTAGATGGAATGGATATAAACAATACGGGAAATTACTTAAGTACGACAGAGAAATATAATATTACGACTTTAGAAAATACGCACATAAGAGAAAAAGAAAGGGATAATTACACAAAAGATACAAAGGAACCAAATAATGATTCAAATGTAAGTATACAACAAAAAACAAATATCAATAAAACTAACGGGTCTGCCAATCCTACAGAATTGATAACGGACTATGAAAACAATAATGTAAGAATAACTCAAACTGTTGTAGACCACACACCGAGAGTTATAATTAAAAAAGGAGTATTTCTAATGGACTTCTTTGTTCATAGAGTGAAGACACAAAATACGGACCATACTGCATATTTTACAAGGCATAAAGATAGGACAACAACTAGACATAATGATGTTGACTGTACAAGTGACAAAAAATTTAACACAGTACCTAAACAAAAATCAATTCTAACAGCTAAAGAAACTCAACAATATTTCGAAAACTTCGCAATTTACACCATATCTTTTCTATGTGGCTGTATTGTTACGTTGGTTCTTTTCTGTTTTATCAAAAAGCTGAGTCATGACCCACGCGGTTATACAAGTAACAATTTTTGTTTAACAAATGTTTCTTGAATGAAATTGGAATTCAATGAAAGAGGACGTAAATAATTGTCAAACTCTACGATAGAATATTAATAATGATAAATAATATCAACAGGAAGTTTTGATATAAGTTATTTACTTAGTCACGATACGTTGCTGTTTTGTAAATACATATTTTATTAAACCCTGAAGTAAATATTATGTTGAAACACTTAAGAAACGATACTACCTCCGCTTGAATTGAATTTTTTCCCGTAGTAATACGGTTCATTTTGCTTGAATAGGGACATTGGCTTTATTTCAGAATTTTTTTACAAACGCATTTAAAACCATTTGATAAATATATATCATACAGTATACGTTCTGTTTAGTTCAGTTGATATAAAAAGAAATTGGTATATGTAAAGCAACTATTCTTGTAAAATTTCGAAGCAAGTTTGTGTTTTTTTCTATCGTGGAAATTTTTAGGAATAATTTTTTTGCACCTTATTGTAATCAGTGTGTATATTCAATTATGCTATATATTTTTTCCAAAGTGTTTTTCAGCACTTTCACTGTTATGTGAAATCAAATAAAGCCATTTGAGGTAGTATAGACTCTTAATTCTCGAGGAAGATCATGTGATGTGTGAAATCTCTAACCGGCGTTGGCCCAGCGTAGTAGACTACAGCTAATCCTCCAGCTTTAATTGTTATAATATGCTGACCCCAGCTCTCTAAGCAAACGTATACGAGTTAATAATGACGATGTAGTTTTAATTATTGTACAACATGTTAAAATTATTAGTTACTTTAACAGTCGTAAAATATCATGTGCGCTTATTTACTACAGCTTTCGAAGTGAAATAAATTATTATTCCACATTACTATTAATCATTTCTCTTTACTTTTTATTTCTGGGATGGTCGGCCTAGCGTTCTGAGATGGAAGATAATGCTGCTTACCCATAATTTTCCACTACTGCCTACTCTTAAGGTGGTTTTCCACCGGGTAGATGAGACGAAAGGAAGCGAGACGATTTCTCTTTATCACTATCTTTATCTTTATGCGTAAGCGAGCGCACTAGTTAGGCTGGCACATGCGCTACGTTTGAGAAAGAAAGAGATAGCAATACTTTCTCGGATCTTCAGGCTGCTGCGCTAGAACTTTTTGTAGCACGTGACGTGTAAGTCAATGACCTTTGCATCAAGCAGGATCAAGGGGCCAACCACAACCTTTCAAAAAACAATCTTATTTCAATTATTAATACAAATTCGTCGGTCGGTCGGATTCGAACCGACGTTTTCTTGCATACCGTGCCAGACGCTATACCAACTAAGCCACGGCTTTTTAGTCGTAGCGCCATCTATGACAAATCTATTGCAGATTTATCACCCAGTTAGTACCTTTACAGCTACCAGTCGGTTCGAATCCGACCGGATCGAAGGAATTTTTTCTGAGTGTTCGATCTGTGTATTAATAATTGTAACAAACTAGTGGAGTAATTTCACAAAAAATAATTGAATATCAATTCAATACATAAAAATTTAATTAATCTTATTTCAATGTAAGCATAAAGTAAGCATATTATAATATTACCCATATTTACGAATGTGACAAACCTGTCAACCAAGTAATGTATTATTGCTAAAGCGATTTCCCAATATTGTCTATTCCTTACTAAAAATAGGAAAGAAATAACGCTATATGAACTGTATAATGCCATCTTTTTCTTTTTTGATGTTCCGAAGCGACTTATCGTAGGTATAATGATATACTAAATCTATGGTAAGTACTTAACGATGATACATTCAAAGAATTTTAACTGTTAAAAAAAGAAGTGTGAAATAATAAAATCTATTAAAATTACTCTGTTTTCAATTATTTTTCCACAATTTCATGAAGAAAAATAAATAAAACAAGTTGTGTCTTGATAGTCACCTTGTGAATTCGGAATTATAGTCTAGTGTCAATTGTTAGTCGCTGAGGAGCATATAGATGGCGCTGTCATAACTTTACGAAATAAACATCGCGTATTTTTAATGATTTCCTATAAACTTTTAAATAAAAAATAAACAAAATATTGAAGAGATTTATGTAAATACATAAATTCAACTTAACTTTTAATCATTACAAATCTATATTTAGATAATAAATTCGAAAATAATATTGTTTCCATTGCGTCCAAGTAACTATTTTAAGATTCCTAAATTTAACATAAGAACAATGTTACTTTAATTTTAAAGTCGCGTCATGGCACGAACTGAGTGGATGAATAGTTACAAAGCTGCCAATAAAACATCATAGCTTTAATATTATAATAAGCTACTAGAAGCGCGTCATGGTACGAAAAGTCAATGTAAGGTTAAAGTAATATTGTTTGAAGAATGCAATGAAATAAAATATATTTTTCTATTTATTCTTTTAATGATTACGGTTCAGTTTCAAATATAGAACGACTTCTGTAAAAATGGCGAGAATGCAAATCTACACATTGTATAGCAAAGGGCTATGGAATGGAATTCCCTGCCTATAGACTTATTTCTTGAACGATGCTCCATGCTCCATCACAGAACTCATCGTCACTTTCCATCACATTATCACATTTTTTTAAGAAAAAAAATATATAAGATTTTTAGGCTTTAGATTTAGGATAGACAAAACGAATATATAGTCAAATACTATTTAATCCTTTATATAATATAGTATAGATTATAAAAATAAATTAACATCTCCGCTGCCTCCGCGGCGGTGTGAACCGAAGTATGAATAGATACGGCTACGTGAACTAAGCTAAATACCTGCAGTGTGACCTGCTCTTTAGAAAATTCTCGAAGAGGCCTACTTATTAGGGTCACTTCAAATTAGCAGACTGTGAGCATCAACAACTATATTACCTAAAATATATAATAATTATTATCGATATGCTAGCTACACGATGACCACCGTGTCGAGTGGCTTGCACAACGGTTTTTATTGTGTTGCCATCTGTGTGGTCCCGGGTTCGATCCCCGGTCGGGTCGACGTAGAAACATTTCTATATTCTATTTCTATACCCACACCCGAGAAGTGGAACCGTCGTTGTTTCGGATTTCCATAAAACAAGTTAGTTCCTTTTTTTTTTTTTTTTTTTATTGCGACTCGACAAAATGACTGCACCTTCGGGATCAGAGCAACGTATATGATGATCTCTAGTATTTAGAAGTATGTGAAATAACGTTTGTAGGAGTAAACCACTTTTAAAATGATTTAAGAAGGAAGGAGTTAATTAAAATTCAAAAATTAATGAAAAAAGATACAATTGCAAACTGGTTTATAGGGCAATATTACAATAGCGAGGAAAATAGACCCATTTTTAGCCATCGCAAGTTCCCATAGAGTAATAACGCATAGAATAATAGTTTCATATCAAACGAACTGCCACAAGTGAGGCAAAAATCAAATTCATGTAGGCTAGTTTTAGTAGTAGGTTAATTTTCGGTTTTAGTGAATATTTATATAAAAATACAAGTTGAAACGCGTTACTTCCTTGTGGAATGTGATGTTAGTATCTATTATATGTTTGTCTGACGTATTTTTACACTCATTTACCGCACATTTCGTTATTTTTAGCTAAAATTCTTGATCTGTTCGCGGTGCAAGTTGACCTTGAGCACTGAAGGCCCGCCCGCTCGTGTAGGCCCTTCTGGCGCGCTTCAATTTGCCTCACTTAGCGTGTGCGGACTAGGTTTCTATGCGTTATTATTCTAAGGAGTAGCGCAAAGATGTCGCGATGATAAAATGTCAAAATAATAACCACCGAAACTTCCCACCAAACACCGTCCGATCAACATCAGCCCATAAATAATTTTCATATCAAACGTCATCTATACACTACGGTTCTCAGTTATACATGATTCGCATTATTTTACTATCCTCTTTGACCCTGGTATCAAAGTCTCTCATATCTCTTCGCCTGCTTTTTTCCCTTTCAGGGTCATGAAGTTGGTACTCAATTTTGGTGCAGGGGCAACATCCGCAACAACTGCACATTGGAGTCGGTTCTTTTACAAGGTTTATCGCTCCTGCACAATCAATAAAAACAATTATTGTAATATATAAAATACATTATCATCTTGCGCAATAAAAAAATACTATTATTGGAAACAGAAATAGAAACCATTTTTTTTTATTATTTATTTATCCTCCCAATGACATTTTTACAAATAAGATAAGGTTCTAAGGAACTTCCTAAAAGTTTATCGGGAGAGTTTGGTTGCTACGCTTAATATTACAGTCACATGATCATTACATTCATTCAACAACTTCACAGTTTTTCAACATGTACCTACATTGTATCTAACAAATCTTTTTTTTAATTTCATTTTTAGCACACTTTTTACTACCTTCAAGGTTTTCTAAGACAGTTAAAATGTTGAAATTAAATAATCCCTAATTCTTTTACCATATACGTTATTTGTTTTAAAAGTTTCATAGCTGCCCATCGTTGCTTGTCTTGCTGGATAATTACAATTATTTGGTACTTTATATTCAGGACTTGAATATTCTTGTAATATTACTTAACAAGAGTTATGTTACATATTTAAAATGGCATGTCATAATTGTGCGTTTATTTACACTCTCTGCGCACCTTATCATCTTATCATCTACTCGTAACACCTAATTTTGTTAAGATGTGTCGCGGAGGTAGCACCATACGTTCCCACACAGTAATTTATTACAGATTCAGCAAGGGCATGGTATAAATTATCGCACGGGGAGTACAAATCAAATCAAAACACAGTAATATATAAGTTCAAGCATGTTTCGCCCGAAGATAATTGAGGCATGCAAAATAAATGAATAATAGGTCGTCACATGGTTACATTTACATTAAGTTATATACAATTAATTTAAATTCTTTTACATAAAAAATATTGTAGAAATTCCCTAATACTGTAATATACCTTATTCTTTAACAATTCATATAATTTAGTCTTAAATAATGTAATGGGCAAGTGTTTAATGTCATTTGGTAATCTATTGTAAATTCTGACACACATACACAAACAATTTTGATTATATTTTTCTACCTTAGGTACGTCAAAAAAAATCAGTCTATTGGGATTTCTATAATTTCGATGGTTCACGTCAATACTCTTAATACAATAAGCAAGCATGTTGAATCTGCCTAACATCTGTCGCTATCAAGTACAAAGAACATTTATATGTATCGACCAACTAAATCGAGCATCTACCCTCATATAAACCCTCACATAATTACTAACTTGTTCTATAAACGGACATTTGGCTACTGACTATTGCATTCCTGGCCTGTAACTCGACCACAGAGCGTGTAACCGTTGCGAAATATCCGGAAAATAAATTGAACTCATACCGTGGTAAGAAACCTGTACTTAGTAATAATCATAATTTCTTTCTAGGATTCTCATGTTGATGTAGTACATTCAGGTGGACTTAAAAGGCCGTCACCACGTAAAGTTCAGCTCCTCAACCGCGTGAGCGGGTTTGACCTAAACATTGTCAATAAAAAATAAATGTACAGACATCTCACCCATTTTCTTAGCCATCCGATACAAGTGCAAGTAAGTGCAATCAACATACACGTTCATCGGTGCTTGGCAGATCCTCACCACTTCTTGCTTCATTTCTTTACCACGTTCTATCGCGTGAACGTACCGTGTCTTCCCGAAGAGGGGGCATGGACTATTACCGTACACTTTCTGAAATATGAAATATGAAATAAATATAATTTTCTCAAACATGCTCGGAAATGTTTGCATTGTTTTCATAAAACGTTATATCATTTATGGACAATTTGTCATTTATGGACCGAGCGCGTTCTTCCCGCCCAAGGCGTGCCAAGTAAGTATAAAATCCATTACTGTCCGCTGTTCTAAACTTTCAAATCTGTCTACGATTAAAATTAACTATGTAAACCCAGTGTTCGTGATTGCAAGAGTTAAAAATACCTACCTGTATCCGTATTTTTTTTTGTGAGAGAAAAAAAACGGTAAATTGAACTAAAGTGCTTAGGTGCTTGATATTCTTTTCCGTTTTTTCGTCCTTTTGTATTTTTAAAATGTGCGATAACTAAAATACAATAATAGATTGTACTCCGCCTAATTTAAAACAAGAGGCAATACTAGCCAAATTTCATATATTACTTTATTATTAATTTTTTTGCTTTTTCCATTATACATCTTCCTTTCTTTGGTCTTTTATTATTTTCTCACATTGTTTGAGAAAAGCACTATATACGCCTCGGCGGGAACGGGGATTACTTGACTCGTATCAATGTGATGTTACTCATACTAGTCTAGTAATCCTTTACTTACCGGCCTGTACAATAATGTACTATTGCTTTGACGGTGGAAAAGAACATGTCAATGTTGAAATAATCTGTAATAATTGTAAGATTACAAAATTCTTTTATCGCACTAAATTCTCTCGATATAGGATAGTACACAGAAGTGGAACGTTGTATATTTACCATTACCATTGTAATCCTGATCATATATTTTCAAAATTTTCCATGTATTAAAATGGGTCAACTTTTAAGGCTTGATCATACGTAATGAGAAAAGATGCGTGACGATGTTACCTCTCATTTAACAAAGTCATATTATTTACAAATATAAAGTGTACAAAGGGTGGTTTATTTCATAGCCTAATTATATTAGATATAGTAACAGGGGTGACAATGAAATACTGTAAATGACATGTTTGAACAATAATCTCAGTACAGAGAACTAAAAAAACCGACCTCAAAAGTACGTGGAATTACGTCTATTTGCTAAGTTTCATTGAAATATCCCCTAGTTCGCTACTATACAGGACTTGATACTGGAGATAATAAAAATAGGTTCTCACTACGCCACTACTCAAAGTATATCGAGAGAAAAACGCCTTGAATTGGAGAAATAGCAACATCAACTAAATAATAGCTAAAAGTAATTGCTCCTAAATTAAAGTTAGGCGCTATTTATAAAAATGAATCTTCATGCGTGAACAGCCACCCTTTGAGGTGGATGATTTTCTTCAAAATGAAATGGAACCACTATGGAAATACCCCCTTTCCAACAAAAAAAGAATCATGAAAATCGGTTTACAAATACCGGAGTTATCGCGTAACATACATACAAAAAAAACAAATAAAAAAAAGACAGTCGAATTGAGAACCTCCTTCTTTTTTGAAGTCGGTTAAAAAGTAATTTACAAAGACAGACCTCTAAAACTTCTAATAGGAATGCCGCAGACGTCTGTAATTTTGCATATTTTTAAATATCTGCTACCGCATCCGAATCAATCGACGGAGAGTTTTTACGGACACGAATGTTTTGCAGGTCACGACTACATTGTCGAAGCCCTACTCAAAGCACATGGCAAGAAGAAGTATTAAGAGAAGCGGGAAAAACTGTTGGATAAAATGGTTTACTACCGACTACTGACCGAACTATTGACTAAATTGTACGAAATACGGGCACCGGTAGTGTATATGCTCTCTGTGCAAATAGATGGTTCATGTAGGACATAAGATGGAGTGTTCTAAACTGTCTAGTTGACCGAAAGACGAACACTGAAGGAATTTAAGTTCCGGTACACACTCTCCGAGATATCTGATAGTTAGCCGACTAGCAGGCCACTTTTCTGCGATGATCAAAATTTTGTAGCTTCAACTTCACAAAGCAGTCGTTGCTAATGAGTCTGTGTACTTATGCTCCACCAACTCCAAGGCAACTAACGAGTATCGAAGTATGAGTAGCAGTAAAACGCCTTGTGAAAGAGTTAGTCCAGGGTAGTACCTGGTAGTACTACCGATTTCTACCGCCAAGCAGTAATATCAGCATTACTGTGTTCAGGTTTTGAAGGGTAAGGGTGCTGGTGAAATTACAGGCACATGGGACTTGTCAACTTACGTCTCAGGATGGTCAGATCTTTGCGATTTAAAGCTGTGAATAGCACTGCGACAGTCACGGACAGACGTCCCGTCACTAAATATTATAAAGAAAAAGAACGTAGCTGTCCCAAAGGTGGCGGTAATTCTTCAAACTCGTTAACTGTTCAGTGTTCTTGTTCAACGCGTAAATCGCATTAAGCGTCTTGACACTTCAAATAAAATAATGATTCTGATGATACTTTGCCTGTCCAACTGAGACACTTATGTTACGACCAGTGTACGTGTGTAAGATGTAGTACCTTTGGCCATCTCCTCACACATTCGTCGACAGGTTTTCTTTCAAGCAGCAGCTCGTACGACGTGGCCTGGACTTCACCTTTCCATATTCGACGACGACTTTTGCAGAATGGGTGACATCTAGAAACGAAATATAGGATTAAAGACAAACGATGCTCTAGAAATATTGACTTTTGAATACAAATCTTGGGATGATGATGATGAAATTATTGAATTTTCGTAAGAACATCGAACAGTTCTTGATTTTTTCAAACATATTATTCTCCCACTCAAAACTTAATCAGATGCCGTAAACAATGAAAGGCCTGGCTATAAATTTTAGTAGCAGTGAAAGCCATTGTGAAAGAATTCCTCCGTGGAAGTACTGCCGCCATATTTATTTTCGCCTCCAAGCAGTAATGTGAGCATTACTGCGTTCCGGTTTTACAGGATAAGGGGACATCTTTGTGATTTATAGCTCTGAGAGACACTGCAACTAGCATGGATAGGCCTGTCCATTACCGCCTTACTTGATATCAGATACAAGTAAAAGAAAAAAAATACTGTGTAGTCATAGCGACATATAGTAACATTTCTAAACATCGTTGATGCTCCCACCTCCTGCAATGGAAGGATTCCAAAAGAATTGAGTTTTGCATATTATTAACCTATACATACGATTAATTCCAAACTCTCTTAATAATATTCAATACATTTCTTACGAGCACAGCCGTAATATTCTCTCCGGGTCGCTTTCAAGTACCGGCAACTGTGGAAACATTTCTTTTCTTTATGAACTGAAGCGTAAATTAAAATTTTTGCACGAAATCAATAGAAATAGCCATATATAAACGTCACGATTTTTATGCTTTTTTTTAAAATACGCGTTCATATCTTAGAGTACGGAAAAAGGTCGTATAAATCCTTTTTGCGCATGTTGACAATGACATTTTAGGAAGTATGTTATACTGCCAAGCCTCAGTGATATGCGTACATTTAAGAGCGGTTTTACACACACCCGGCGATTATTAGCAGCTATGCAAACGCGATACAATAGCGATGCATTCGCTAATTGTCTATATATATATACAGGTCGCTACAATTGCAATTTATAAGCGATTGAGTCGGTGCGAACGCGCGACTGCTTCGATACAATTGAGTCGTTACACCGCGTGTAAGGACTCTTAATTGTATTGTAGATTTAAGGAAATAGTATGCTATAGTAATATTAATTATTGTGAACATTTCTAAGGTACAGGTAGGGACATAGTTTGTGTCGTAAGCAATTTCAGGTTTACAGTTAGTGGCAGTCGTTCCTTCATCACTATCCGCATAACTTGTGTGTAATCAAAATGTAATTAAATTAGTAATTATGTGAAAGCCTATTTCGCCGTGGAGAATCATTGTTATTAATTCAGTATGGATATTAAATAATCAACCCCTAAATCCGTAAGTATTAATAATAACTGTAGAGAAAAAAGAACAATATAACAAACCAGCTGTTAGTGGAGCAAGAAGACGACGACGACGAATTTTTTCTAAGTGTTCGATCTTTAATTATAACAAACTAATGAAGCGATTTCACAAAAAATAATTGAATATCATGCTAAGAATATCTTAGTAAAGCATCGTGACATTCAATAAAAACTTCAAAAACTGTATCATTTTTCTTTCCTGGACAGCGTTATCGTTTTAGAAGGCTTGGGTTCCACCCGCGTTGTGGATATTTCAAAAATTCGCACCAAGCGTTACGCTTCCATGTTTATACGGAGAACGGCTATGGCGTGAAATTCCCTGCCTATGGCTTATCATCTGAACGTTATAACTTGGACCTATTCAAGGCGAGACTGAATAGGCATTATTTATGTGCATGCTCCAGCGTCGACCTCATCGTCACTTTCCATCAGGTGAGATGGAGATCACTTGCATTTTGCGATTGTGAATTCTATAGATAAGGAAAATGATCTATAAAACACTGATTTTTTTTCAGTTTTCTGACACTTTTAAAGAATTATTTGGTTCACAATCAAATAACCGAAAAAAACCGAATAACCCGATACATGAAAATTAAATCCGAAAAAATCGGTTTTCAAACCCACTAGGTTTCTACAAGCTCTAACCGTCATACGCGCATTAGTATTCACCGATTTTATAATCAGTACAGCCACAGATTACAGAATATACAGATACACAGTCCCATACAAGAAAATGAGTCCATGCTAAGTTTTTAGCTTCCGCTAGCTATTTTGATTCGTTTATGGTACACTAGATGGCGACTATAAATCAACGTCAAAGTAGGAGGTAGAAAGCTTATTACCCTGCATAGTAACTAGATGGCGTTTTCATTTATCACTAGCTAGATTGATTCGATGAATAGATTTAAACTTAGGCCTGTTGCGTCTTTAAAATTTACGTAGATACATACTTACGTAAAACCACATAGTAAGTTCTGTCACATATTGTGTACGGAAATAAAACCACGTTACTGGTTTTTACTAAACTATTGCTTTTTATTAAATAATGTATGTAAGAGATATCAGTTGGGTACACTACCTATCTAGACGGTGTGTGACACAATATTTTACCCTTGTTCTTGAAGTCAAATATCTCAGTAAATTAAAGTTAGGAAGAAGATAATATTTTAGGGCATATATTATATAACAGAAATTTCATATGTTTTAGTACGTACCAATTGTATTATTTAGTTAACTTTTTAAAACATTAGAGTGAACTGTAGCACGCTCACACTCTCATAATGTGAACTCTGTAGTTCAGTAAGAAATCCGTGGTATTATCAATGACTCTCGACATCACATGGCACTTCTGCCAGTCTCGGTATTTTCAAATTTACGTCTGTGACTATAGCGTGATCAAACAATTACAATTTACCCCTGGACTCGTAACAACTTCGTAATCAGATGGCAAGGTACTGGATATGTATGATAAGCTTGCGACGCCAACATTTTTTGACATCTGATTTCGAATAGTTGCTAAGAGACCAGAGGTCAAAACATAAAATGGCAGGTCTGTGGACAAAGATTAGTGCATACTCCTGGATCGCCATCAGAAATGTGGGAATTGTGGACTTATTGAAAGAAAACATGTTCACTGCGCAACGGTTTTATTATCACTCTCATTACAAATTCAAATCATCTTTATTTCATAAGTAAGCAAATTACACTTGAAATCGTCGTACTGATTAAAGTCTACTGCTCATTCGTAAGGCAGAGTCCCCTGAGAAGAATGAGCAAGAAACTCTACTCTACTCTTTTAATATACATTTGAATACTTTTAACATTTACAATATTTATTTCAAACATCTTAGATTGAGACTACCAGCAAGAGCTTAACGGGTCACTACCACGGGTTCTTGTCATCCAAGTACGCAGACGCTGTACAATAAAGTAACCTTTGAAGCTTATACATTGCCCCTTAAATGAATTTATGACTTTGTAAAGAAAATTGTCAAGAATAGCTAGTTTATTTTTATTTCTCGTGTTAATGTTGTCTGTCACTATTTTGAATAAAAAAAATACTGTCCTATTAATATCGGCGTAAGTCAATGTCGGCAGCATTACCCCAAAGCAAAATGCGGTATGTCATTAAACTGTGAAAGTAGATGAATTCAACCAATCTAGCTGTTTTGGCGTCTGACAGTTTTCGTATTTTTTTAATCGCGTACACTGCAGAGCTAAGCCGTTTCGATAATTTATTGATATGTGGACCCCATTGCTTAGCTAATGCAGATATAATATGCCACACCTCAAGAGCCTGGTCACCGCACTGGCTCGAGGACCATCGCCGAGTGCAGCAAGTTGACAATCAATAAGCGAAACCTTTTTTTAAATGTTCCCGAATGCGGGGCTCAACTATTCATCATTGAATTCCTTATTTATGTTGGAGAATTCTTAATTTGGCTCGTCCTTGAAATGATTTATTTCTTGATTTACAATAATCGTGAATTTTAACTACAAATAATTTGGTTATTAAAAAATCAATATGAGTGTAATCATGGTAATCATCTGGGAGGTTTATAATGCACTTAGCACTTTTCATTAAATTTGCCACCAAATCAGTTTTGTGGATCATATTGATGCTGTTATTAAATAAATCAAGCATTTCATTTGCTAAGCAGTACAAAAAATCAGTTGGGGCTTTAAGTGTTGGTGTTGTCAAATTTGAATATGTTTTATTAATCAACAACAATTGCTTCTTATCAGCCAAATCAACTTCATTATTAATCAAAATTCCTTTACACATTGAGCAATCAAATTTATCTATTGTCACTTTGCCTAGCCAGCCAGCAAAATACACAACAGAACAAGTTTCCAGTGTTATTTCTTGGGGTATAACGGTTAGATTACCTTGAGATGTGTACGATTGAACCGGTGGGGAGGAAATAACGGGCAAGGCGACTGCACTTGATGGACCACCAATTGGGTGTGTCAATGTCGACGATGATGACATTTCAGGTTGTGTATTTTGCTGTTGAGCTTCAGCTGTGTTTAAAAAGTGACTTTGATCAATTTCACAATTTGTATTATCTAATTTGATTAAATTATTTAGTAAATTTGATCGGAACATGGACCTTAAATTTTTTGATGTTGGATTCCTGTTACAACCACCTCGCATTCTATAAATCCCAAACGAATTTTCAATTACATCTTGATTTAATCGATTTGTCATAAGAAATTTGACTTCAGTGCCTTGTGAAAATTCCTCAGTGGCGAGCTGAAGTACAGCGTTAATTGATTGCTGTATGCCTTCAAAACAGGGAGGAATCGTCAATTTTTTGTCATTTTTTTTGGAAATCGTAACTTTTTTCAATTGATTGAACATTTCGTTTCCTTTACTTAACGTTTTATGAACTAAAGAATCTTTGTTTTCAGTGATTGCGCATTTAAATGGATTTCTATCAAATTTACATTTTGAATTTAATGAATCAAACAAATCATTCGCATTTCTCACAAAATCAACTGTATTCTTTACGGTGTCACTCTTCAGCTCTCCACTGGCTATCGCCGTCTCCATCGCGGCCGCTACTGATCGACTAAATACTTGTGTGGCTAACTTAACTTTCATTTTTTGGAAACTGTTTGGCTTCAAGTGTACTGGGGTCAATTTTCCCAAAGATCGACTTTTATTACTTTTATCAATATTATAGACCTTGATTATGTCATCAAACGAAATTTCATTGCCATTTAAATCGTAATTATTATCAAGTAAATTGTTTCTTATATTTTTAATCAAATGAGGAACATCATAGATCGAAAATATTTTGCGATTCTCAATAAAAAAAAAGGATCATCTTTTGTTGCCCCCAAGGATTTGATTGCCTTGACGTTGGTTGTTGCTTGATCATGATCACATATAATTACTTTTGGCAATAATCCAATCACAAATAATTTATTAATTATGGATTTAATAATTGTTATTAACTTTTCAGCAATGACATTCTGATTTGATAAGAAATATACCAGAGGGATTTTCCAATTAATGTAAATCCCTCTGGCAACAAACACCAGTGCATACTTAGCTTCCTTGGAGGAACGCTCACCACCACCAAAATCTTCAAATCCTTCAATCAAATCATATTTTTTTGTATATTCCAAATCAGTCTTGATACTCATTTCATCAAAACATACAGCACAGGCTTTTTCTTTAATTGGTTGATCAGCAAATTTCATTTGAATATTATGAAAAACATCTTCATTAATACCTGCCAGACAATCTGTAGCTTAGAGCCAATTTTGGATTGTAGTGGGAGCAGCTAGGAACAGGCCT